ATAAGTATCTTGATTTATAAAAAATAGTGAAATTTCATAATAATAATATCAATTATGGTTAAATGTTCAATGAACCAGAACACAAATTAACTAATTAGATTTACGAGAGCACAACACAAATAATTCGTAAACTTCAATCAGCTCACTGTATTCACAAAATGTTTATAATCCTTGAAAGTTCTTTTGTTTATTGAGAGTTAATAATTTGAGCACTTTTCTGCTGAAGTGTGTAAACAATAAGTGCAAGAAAAGTCTATATATATATGCTCAGTTTCTATATACAAATTTACAAATTAATGTTCATTTCACGAGTGTGAAAACCAAATTTCTGTATTAAAGGTTAGAACAAACACTTCAATTTATAGTGCATTTCAACCGAATCAGTATTCAGTATTTATTAATTTATTGTTCGACTGTTTTGAGAAATTGAAACGGTCTTACTTGCTTAATCCAGTTCATACCGGTAAATCCATATAGTGATTATTTATCCATTTATCACTATTCGTAGTAATTTGCACTGACAGCTAAGGAATTTTCCACTGAGAGAGAGAGACCACAATGATATACAGAGTTGGAGCCCGTCGAGAGTGAGACAGGAATAACCTTAAACAGGCGTAGTAGAGAATTTTGCTAGGTCCGAGATGACTTGCAACAATTTAGGGGTTAATTACATGAATTGTAATCAATAATATCGTTGATAATATAGACCATGTCAGGCCTTGAGACACTGGGAGTAGTATTTTACTATAATTCGCGTACTAACGGGGGTTTTCTGGGGGTTTTTTCCTCTGTAGAGCGTTCAGAGGCGAGAGGGTGCAGAGTCTTTGCTTACTCTTCTGCTTCTTGATTACTACTGTTGTGTACCGTGCGTCGAGTCGACTGCCTTTTTTCGGAGCAGGTCGCATAAATCAGGGATGTTGGGTGGCAACTGACCAATCACAACAACAAAATAGATCCATTGCTCATAGGGTAATGAAGAAACCTGTAATTTTACCTATTCAAAAGGGCTGCTGTTGCCAGTTTTACAGGAATCTTTTTTTAGAATATTATTTTTATGATAAATAATAGAAATTGAGATTATATTGATAAACTACAAATAATAATATTTTAAACTTGTTGTGGGTTATTTCCGCAACAGTAGTATTTATTCCTGGCGCTTGCCTCTGCTTGTGGCGAATGTAAAAGAACGAATTCTCCTGTTTCTGGGTTAGTAGTTTCAAGAATATAGATGTGGCACCATATGATTTCTAGATAATGTTCTTAAGTCCATTTTTTCCATCCCGATTGATTTGGGTAATTAATAGTTGTGGACATGTTTTGATTTGATTTCTGGTTGAATGTGTGTTGTCAGGTTTTCCATTAATTTTTGCTAGTACTGGTGATTGGTCTCTTCCATGGGCAAGTGGACGGTCAGTGTTTTCCGGTTGGTCTTCTGATATCTGATTGTTGTTGTTTTCTTTTTCTAAATTTTCTCTTTATCTTCGGGCTCGAATTGCATCTTTTACTATGGTTTGAATCTCATCTAAAGTGCGACAACCAAATGAACCTGTGTGGAAAGAATGCGGGCAAAACCCTGCTGATTGGCGCCAGATTAATGTATACGCGAGTCGTCTGTTGGAGACCCGTAACTACAATTTTCTGATTGGGAAGTTTTCGTTTTCCCCTTTGCTACTTCACACGTCGCCAAGGTTCATTCGGTTGTCAGACTGCTTGTTGCTTGTTGTTAAATAGCTTGTTGCTATTTAAAATATATCTTCTTTGCGTCGCTAGTGTATTTGGTGTTAATTTGTCCGCAATCTGCGGGTCTCATGATTCCCATGGTTTGTAAGCTTCTCTTAAGTTACTTGGTTCCTGTGAGTTCTAAGGTATATAGGTAACATCATATAATTTCTCCATAGTTGTTTATGGTCCATTTGTTCCTTTCTTGTTTTTTTTTTTTTTGTGATTGTTTATTTTGTGAGGTGGTGGTTTGTTGTTTGATTTGAGAGTGCACACCCCTTGTATGAATTTGCTTGTTAGGTTCTATTGTAGCCTTAGAGTTCATGAGTTGAAAGTGGCCACTCTCCAAGTTAACTGTGAGCAAGAGGTTAATTTCAGTTGGACTTAGTTTTTTGTCAACTACTGTAGGGCATCCTTTTGCTGTGTAGACTTCGGTTTCCGGTAGTTTTTCTTCAACATGGACATTTAATATCACTTGTTTCCACCAACTATTTTAGGGGAGCCCTAACGATAAGTATTCCCTAAAATGACATTTTTACATGGAGAAATGTTAGTTTGAGGCATATCTACCGTTAGGGTTTCCCTAAAATAGTTGGTGGAAATGGCCATAAATGCGGTTGTTGTGGAGACGGGGGTTAGTTAATACCAAATGGTGTTTCACTTCCTCGTAGTTATCTCTGATGTAAATAACTTACTGGTAGAGATATAGACTTACAGAGCGGAATATCTCTTGACATTAAATATGGTGAAACTTGGTGCTGTTGATGTGGTTTTGTTTGTACGATAGTTATTCAGTGAGGGTTGAGGATTTTCCTGGTTTTTGGTATGAGCTACCTCGGGTCTCATACTTTTTGAGGGCGAACCCTGGGTGGGTTGGTTAATTCTTCATAGTTTATCATGTAAAAAATCTCCGATCGTGCTGCCTCCAGATGTGAGGGGGTGATCAGTGATCACACAGTATATCTACCCTCATTGTTGTAAAGGCTTCTTTCCTACTGGCGGGGATATCATTCACCCCGTGGAACTTCATTGTATCCTTCTGTCACAACCTGGTTTGTAGCAACTGGGGCCCGGGATCTTAGGGGTTTTATTGAATTAAAACAATACAATTGTACATTGGGTATAAAGTTTATTAATCAAAAATTGATAATTAGTGAACGATGAGAACACTTAACCGACTAGGAAAATTAATTGACTATGTACTTACCCGGAGTCCATCCTTCTTGTAGTCGAGACCGGAGCACAACTGTTTGATTCGCGTTGAGACTTAACAACTGTCTTTTCAAAATTCAATAATGGACCCATTTGGGTTAAGTGGAATCAGCAAAAAATCAATATTTTATATTTTGGGCTGGTGAACTTAATTTCTCGCTTAATTTGGTTGCTGACTCCACTTTTCGGATTTTGTTCAATGCACTATCGATATTGCTCAATACTGATGACCGGTTATTTACTTAATCAAGAATCAATAAGGCAATGAACTTTCGTCAATTAATTGAACTTTGAAATGATACTTTTGACACTCCCTTGACTTTCGTATATCGTCTGGCAGCAGCGCGTTGACGCTGGGAGTACGCACTGGAGGCGCTTCAGTGGATCATTTCACACATCCTATGTTTCAAGGCAGTGTCACCATGTCCGCTTTCCGTCCCTAACATGGAGAATAGACGGTGTTGTAGCCATCCCTTTGGAGTACCGAGGCTACGTTGTTGGGAATTCTCCCCTTGAACCAAAGCCGCTCCACTGGAGTACAGACGCTGGAAGAGAGGGATGTAGCTGCCCATTCCCAAGGTCCAGCGCTACTGGGAATTCTCCCCGGGGTGCTTAATTTTTTTGTCGCCTTTTACGACAGGGTAGAAGCTGATAAGCGGCCCTTGATATTCTAAAGCCGGGAACCACCAGTCTGTAGGGCAGTACCTACTTATTCAGGATCTTCTTTCCCTAAGTGTTGTCAACTAAAATTTTTGTAGACTTGTTTCGTAGGGCAGGTTTCTTAGTTCTTGGAATTTTGGTTATTTTTCTCTGAACACTTTGTAAGAGATCCAAGTTTTTGATGTAGTAAGGAGACCAAACTGTGTGGCCATATTCTAATTATGGTCGTATGTCAGTGGTGTACAGTTTTTTTAAAAAATAATTTCCACAGTTCAATTTTCAAATGCTTGTCTTATATGGGGTACCTATATTAGTTGATTGGCCTTTTTTGATGTGTGAATATATGGGTTTCCCATTTCAGATCATCGGTGACAGTGACATATTTCTAGGTTCTTTTGTTCTGAGACTTTTTTGAGTTCGACGCTGTTTTTTTGGTAGTTGAATCCAAGGTTATTCCGTAGTTCGTCCTAAGTGTAAAATTGTACACTTTTTTTCATTCAGTTTAGCTGTCATGTGATTCTTCATTTCTCTACAGTATTATGTCTTTCTTCAGTTGACGCAGTTGTGTGTAAAGGATTTCCATATAGCTTTTTGTCATCTGCAAAGAATTTCATTTCGGTTTGTATAATCTTTGAAAGATCAGAAATGTACACTATAAAAAATAGAGAGGCAAGTATAGTATAAATCCTTGTGGTACTCCGCTGACGTGAGTGCCAATCAGAGTGATTAGGTATTAGGCATACCTAATTATTTACACAAAGAAGATAGATTAAAAAATAGATTATGTTAGAAAATTAAGACAAGTACAATATTTGAAGAACATTTTGAGAACTGATTAATGAAGACATTTATTTAAGCTGGGATAAATGCAAAATCAGAGAAACCGTTAATATTCTCACGAATTGCGAGTTCACAAAAACTCACTTTACACAGCAGTAACACTTTTTATTAAACTAATTAAAAAAACAGGTGTTTAATATAATAAAATTGCAATAATCACTGACCAATTCACTTCTTCCAGCACTCTTGAAAAATTTAAAGCATTTGATAGGTAGGTTCTCTTCTTAATGATAATATTTTACTGCAATGTTGATATTATATTGGGGTGACGGGATTAAATTATTTATTTCAAAATTATTCAAATAACAGAACTCTGTATGTGCAAATAATAATAATCTTGACTAAACTGTAACTTGTGGATTACCATGAGGATCTTCTTTAAAGCTAATATTATTCCTCATTTATGCAATATCAAATTGTTTGTAGATGATACCACTGATGGGGTATATTTTTTTGGTGATCATCTAGTAGCTACAATACGATTTCAATTGAATATACTGTTGTAACTATGCTAAATAGTAATGCAATATCTGTGTTTCACTTTGTTAAATTCTTTTCCTACATTTCAGGTTACAACGCCTACGATTACTACAACGCCAATCCTGAACTGAAGCAAGTAGTCGACCAAATCCAGAACGGATTTTTCAGTCCTAACAATCCGGACGAATTCAAAGATTTGGCGGATATTTTGCTGAAATATGACAGATTCTTCCTATTAGCTGATTATGATTCTTATATCAAAAAACAAGAACAAGTCAGCGAAACGTACCAGGTACTGCATTATTATAAGTTTTTTTCTAAACCTAACACTGTGACTTTCCAGAATCAACCCAAATGGTTAGAAATGGCCATAATGAACATCGCCACTTCCGGTAAATTCTCCAGTGACCGTACTATTATCGAATACGGAAAGGACATCTGGGGAATAGAACCCAACTACCACAAGCTACCCGATCCATCTGTTCCAAGAGAACTTGCTCTTAAAGATGATAAATAAACTTTAAGGCTTAGTTTTTAGGCAGCATGCTAAATATTTAGTCGTAAAAGCAATTGTCAAGGTGATAAAAATTTAGCTTAAGAGTCAGAAGTAATTTGAGTGAAGTTTTTTTTTCTATTTGCCAACTAAAATATCTCAGGTAAATTTTCTTTTAAATGCCAATGACTTCTTCAGACTCTCTATTTAGAAATTCTGTCCTTTGAAAGGACAAATTAATGTGTCATATATTTGTTACACAACATTAAATTTATATTGTTTGTTAAATAATAGCTCATTGTGATTTTTTTGTTAAAAATGTTCTGGATTTTGATCATATCTAATACAGCGAGCTTGACAAATTTTATTGTTGTTGGATATTTAAATTTTAAAAAATACTTTCTAACGAATGCAGTGTCAATACATAAAATACTCATATTTTTCTTGTGTGGATTATATTTTTGTTTTAGAATATTTCATTAATAAAATACTATTTACTCAATGAAATAAGTTTTTATTTTCAGTTATCTACTTCAAGCCTTCTTTAAGATAATGGGCTTTTCTTTTTTATTTATAAAATACTAGCGGCCCGCTTCGCACGGGTATAAAATATAGCCTATGTCACTCACTGAAAAAATGATTAAAATCGATCCAGTAGTTTTGATTTATTCATTACTGCCCGTGGCCCGCACGCGTTAAATTTGGAGTAAAACAATTCCCCTTTCCCTATACCATGAAGATTTCCTGCTATCTTTGGAATATCTAAATTCATACACTACATTTTTACTTATTTACTTTTTACATTTTTACCTATTTATTTTATTTTTACAACAATTAATATATTACAGAATCAACAATGTATTTAAGGTATTTAATTGGATAAGGATTAATGCTGTATTGGTTAAAATCGCTTCCTGCGTTTGCAATGTAAGCGGAAGAAATGTAATTATCTACGACATCACTTTGGAAAACTCAAAAATAACAGTATTTCTCCACTATTTAATGGATGTTATTATACATATAAACCTTCCTCTTCAATCACTCTATCTATTAAAAAAAACCGCATCAAAATCCGTTGCGTAGTTTTAAAGATTTAAGCATACATAGGGATATAGGGACAGAGAAAGCGACTTTGTTTTATACTATGTAGTGATAGTGATTTCATCCATATTCATTAATTTATTCATTAATAAAAAATAATAAAATTAGTTATTGTTGAATAAGCATTCATATGGGCTCCGTTAAAGTCTTAAGTTGTGTTTTTTTGATGTGTTGAATATCGTTACTTATGTAGGTGAGAATGTGAACTTTCTGTGTGTAAAACTTTCATGAATGAAAATTGAACCACTTTCTGGTAAATTGAAAAACTGTTGAAATATCCTTTTGTATTGAAATACAATAACAGCACACGAACTTTATTTTCAACTGTGATGGTGATTCACTCAATGAAGATAGAAAATAGAAATAGATAAATAAACTTCATCATAACAACCAGCTTTGGGAGTTGTGAGGAAAAACATCAGACTAACTGGTGCTGTATAATAGTAAGTATGTCTTTAATAGTATGCAACAACATATTTCATCCTAGCTGTCTTAAGAGGACTAGAAAATATACAACTGTCAATCGGAACTAGATTTATTGCTCTATGAACTGTGCAGAGAAGGCCACAAGAGGAGTTGGATAGCGTTACATGTCCTTCTAATACCTGTCTAAAGAACACTATTGATGATCTTACTACGGAACTAAAGCAAAAAGATGCACACCTAGAAAGACTCAAGAGAAATTCATGTCTTATTGAGAATGAGGCTGTTGAGGCGGAGAATTAGTACCTAGCTGAGATTGAACTTAAGAATAAAACTATCAATTAATTAGGTAACATTTATTAAATCAGGAAATCGGAAGCTGTTACTTCAATAAAGTACAGTGACTCTATAACCCACAGTGGCGACAATTGCTGTCTCATTTTTGATTGGTTCTAAAATCCCATATATTTATATTGAAAGCACCGCCATCTTGTTCCCAACCCCTTGTTACTTTTAAATATGAATATATGGGATTTAGGTGAACATTCATCATAAATCATGGTAAACAACGTATTTGATGGACCTGATAATGGTCATCAAATACGTCGATTTCAATTTTTTATGATAGATGTCCATTTAAATCCTATATATTAATATTTAAAAGTAACAAGAGGTTGGGAACAAGATGGCGGCGTGACCTCTATTGTCGCCACTGTATGTAAAGGTTTATTTAGCCACTGTACAATAAAGGACGATGCACACTTTAAATGGGATTTAAAAAAATCCACGATTTTGATGAAATTTTGTTATGTTGTATATATCGATCTCCTGATCAAAAGTTCTCATGGGCCCAAGATGATCCTATGACTGGTTTCTGAAATACAGTGGCGGGTATGGGGCTACCAAAAAATGCGATTATATTGAAATTTTCTCACACAACCTAAACTTTGATATAAAAAGTGATAAAATTGATTGAGTAATATCTTTATTGGCCATGTAGGATGTCCCGAGACAGCTTCTATCGTCAGGGGGTACTCAAAAAATATACCTTATCCTTCTGTTTATACTTTTTATACAAAAATCGGACGCTCAAGTTCAACTCAACTTAAATAAAATAATAGAAAGGTTTAATTTGGACGCCTTTGCTGTACTTAAGAAGTATCAGGTTTGCAGGTTGCAGGTTTGTTCTTGAACATAAATACTGACGAGATTCAATCAAAACTAAGGATAGCAAAAAAAAAGAACAATAACTTTTTATTTCAGGGGTGAAAAATTGAAACCAGTAGGTACGTACATGTTTACCTACATTTGTTTAAAAAGATAGCGTTTCCACCTTTATCAACAAATATGAATTGTATATATATTCATATATGTACTGCTTGCTTGAGGCTCAAGTTCAAGCTAAAGGAAAACTTATTGATTTTTCAAAAAAAAATTGTGGTAGCTACACGATCGAGTGTTGTAATGAGCCTTACCGTACGTGTGATATACAACATTTTATCTACGACCTGCACAATAAGTGACTATTGTCGTTTGTCTATTATAAGGGTTGGTTTTTTTCGAGAAAGTTTGGATTTAGGTCAAAAATAAACGGCGTAGATGAAGAAAATGTGTATTTGCCTATCTTCTTCAACGCCGTTTATTTTTGACCTAAATCCAACATTTCTCAAAAAAAACCAACCGGAATATCCACTTACTTGAGCAAAAAAATTATAAATAAAATAACTACTGTACTCGATTGTGTAGGTAGTTAAAAAAAAATTGACCTCTTACTTACTTAAAATAATGAACGCGTTATGATTATTTACCGCACTAGTGCGGTAATAAGGCCCAATACATAACACAAATGAGCAAAAATTAGTGAAAAGGAAACTAAATTATTTCTGTATATTAATATTTGTTTTATCAAAGTTGCATTCTGCTGTTTCAAAAAAATATATATAAGGTACCTGTCCCAAATAAGGCCATGTTAAGAAGTTTTATTTTTTCCGAACACTATCCACCAAACCCAACAAGAATCACGAGCTTATATGTGAACTGTTTCGCTTCTATTACTTGAATATTAACTCCAATTTATTTATTTTTACATATAAGTGGTGGTTTTTGCGTAAAACAAAGACCCTTACCATTGGCCTTATTCTGATCACTATGCTCCTGATAAGGCCAACAATAAAAAATGTTTAAAATAAATAGAATGATTCATAAAAATATTATTTTTCGACATAAAGTTCTCAAATTAGAACTTTAACGTTTGCTGCATTCTAAAAAAACAATAATTTTAAGTCCAGGGATGGTAATCCGAATAGGTCTACATACAACTAGGACTAATGAACCGCAGCTTTTCTTGCTTGGTTAGACTTCAGGCGCTCTAGAACACATCACTTAAGCAATAATATGACACATTCTTTTAAAAAAACACTGTGATGTGAGGCCAATTGAAAATTTTTCATGTGGCCTTATTAGGAACATGTTACATTGATAAAAAAAGTTATGTAACTAGAAATCTAGCAAAGATATTATTCTGTACTTACTCTGTAGCTTTCTCAATACATAAATGTCCGTGTAAAAATTACATTCGTTCCATTCCCTTTATGAACATGTGTATAAACTAATTAAGTTCCAGCCTCAAAGTTATAACGTGACATATGAAATCTGTGGTTAGCCATTTTTCGACATATAGGTAACGAGTTGCTAGGAATCCTCGCAATAATTTTTGATTTGCATTATAGATATCTTTTTCAATAATATTTCAATTTTTGAATATGGGATTCAATATTAAGCAATAAGGGGCATTGGCCTTATTAGGTACGTGGCCTTATTTGGGTCAGGTACCTTACATGTATTTAAATAACTTCCTATATTAATACTTTTGGAGTACCCCATGATGTAACATGGCCAATAAAAATAAGAGACAATTAATTTTATCACTTTTTGTATCAAAGTTTACCTTTTGTAAAATAATTTCAATTTACTCGCCTTTTTGGGTAGCCCCATGCCCGCCACTGTATTTCGGAAACCAGTCATAGGATCGTCTTGGCCGCAGCGGCGGATTTAGGATTCCTTCTAGGGGGGGGCGATCCATCAGGGCCTCAGGCTCAGATAAGAAATAATAAAAAAACGACTTAAATATACAGAGTGGCAAAAAAGTCGCGTATAATACCTGTAACTTTCTAATTACCTCGTATACGAAAAAGTGACCTTAATGAAAGTTGCTCAGTAAATTAGGGACATAACGCTTCCGTATTTTTTGCTCGGTATCCGTATCGGTATCGTACTGTGCATGTGTAGAAGCGATACGGAGGCCGAGATACCGTACGTACAACGTAACGTTACGGCCCTCTCGCGGTATCCGTATCGGTAACGTATCTTGACATTCCTGACGCATGTGTCAAATTTCAAATGAATATAACCTCCCTTTTCTTCCGGGTTGATTTAATTTGTTTAGTTTTTACTTTCTTGAGTTTCTTGTGTTTAGTGCTTCTCTATCGCAAAAAAAAATAACAATTTTAAGGTTAGATATAAAAACGCCGAAGTTTTGAGACAAAAATGTCTAGGTTATGAAATGCGTTTACGTTTACCGGAACATGGAGCGCTTTAACAGCCTTTTCGCTTGTCAACGTATCTAGTTGCGTTACGGATACCGATACCGATGAATTATTTCAAGTAGCTTTATGTCCCTAATATTTCCCACAATAGGGTACTTGCATGGAAAATTAAATTGATTATTGTTTATTGCAAACTGTAGGAAATCGAAAAAAAATCGTTACTTTTTTTTCATTTCGCCCAAATATGATTATTTCAGAAGTTATACAAATATTAAGTTTTGTATGTATAGATATACTGAGCATGTGCGACGTCATAAAGTATTATACCTGATGACGTCATAGGCATATTTCATAGCGTTGTATCTCCGTCAATTTTTGAGTAAGAAGAAAAAGAAAAAACACGGGTTGACTTTTTTTTCATGGACTATCGAAATCAGCAAT